TCAGCAGATTACTGTGTTGCGACCTGAGTCATCCTTTATTCAGCAAACCCAGAGTCATCAGTCCAGACGGTCATTTTTTTTGCGTCATAAACTGTCTCTTGCACATCATGTATCGCCTGCTTTCTAGCACTAACATCGGTAATCTGGCCATGTTCTACCTAGGAAGATTGCAGGACATGTCTGGCACCCTGACTGGGCGAGGCAATACTCTACATGGCAGCATCTTACGAAGCCAGTCTTTTTCGGGATTTCGAAGCGAAGCAGGAGCGGGAATCTTTGTAAGTACTGCAAGTTTCGTCTTTGATTGAAAAAATATCCTTTCTTCAAGTGCAATTTAGTACTTGGTAGATATCTGTAACAGAACATTTGCATACAATTGAAATGTTATAAAACAGATAACTTTTAAGCCAATTACAGGAGAAATGAGTAAAAGTCATTTCATGGAAGTGTTTTGATGAAATCACCACTGATAACATGTATCATGTGAGTCTTTAAAAAGCGTGTTTTAAACTTCCTGACACGGGATCAATGTGAAGGTGTCTCTGTAAATAAATGAGCTTTTCCTGTGTTTTACAAAGCAAAACTGAAAGAGGTTAACTTTCATTCAGCTCATTAAGTAACTCTTTCAGTGGATGAAAGAAATGCCTGAATGATTTGGCCACTAGCCAAAGACTTTAGTGCAAAATACAATTTATTCACACCAAACAAAATGCCAAGTAAGCTGATGTGATTATGTGCTTTATTTTCGACAACTCAGTGCCTGTTTTTTGTTTTGAGAGATGAAACAGCTGTACGTAGGCCAAAGAGAGACCTGTAACATGCAGCACACAGCAGGGTGGTAATGCCATGTCTAGTTTCTGTTTCTCCAAAGGATGTTAAAGGAACAAAACATTGCCTCTGAGTCTAGATCCATGGTGCTGGAAAACAATATCTGGACTTGAAAATCTGTAAGAAGTCAAATTTCCAATTTCATCTGTGGTTAGACTTCAAGCAATAGAGTCGTTTAATCTACTGGTATATTTAACATTGATGTGAATGTTACTACTAAGTCATGTTTGTCTCCAAGTTACATTGTAAATTTTACTACTTGAAACTAAAAGGGAAGTTACATGTAGCTCACATCCGCACTTATGGAGGTCCTCTATGTGCAACGAAACTCAACTTGTTGCAAACTTCTAATAGAAAAACAAGTTTCAAGGTCCATGGACAGATGGTATTATTCCATTGTACGATTTTCGCTTGGTTTTGTTAATGTGCAGTACGACACTTATCAATTCTTTGTCTGTTTCTATTCATCATCAATGACACATAATTAAATTCTATCACTAAGTTTCATTTTCACTTGTCATATGAGTACGGAGAACTGTGTAATGTACGTATATGTGCTGAAATTACCTGCACGTTGTTTATTGTTCCGGTTCTTGATTTTTTTCCCTGAAATACCTACATGTACATGTACCTCAGTAGTAAAAGGAATGAAAGATTCAATTTCTAATTAGTTTATGAACACCTGTCATTATATGATGGTGGGGAAAACAAGAATCAATCAACCAAAGATAGGGGGGTAAGACTCCTAGATATTGATCTCCTGATATCCCAAAACTTTGCAAGGTCATCAGAATGGTCAAGGTGTCCCCTTTTTTTCACTTACCGGCAGCTTTTTTTTCACTTACTGGTATCAACATGTACATGCACTAGGGTCATTCCAGAAATTAGTGGTCCATTTTTAGGGGACCCCTAATTTCTGGAATTATTTTCAATACTGTCTGTATAGGCTACTAAAGATGCCGTACATGTACTGTTCAGAGGTGCCCTACTATACCCTTCCCTAAACACGCAGCAGGGTCATTTTTTAAATTCAGGGTTCAAAACTGTGACATTTTTTGGTCCCTGTTTCAGCTGACCTGTGTAATTTGACCTGGAAATATCGCTGAAATTGGTTTGAAACTACTGGTATTTCCATTTGTTTGGCAGGTAATTTGCATTAACTCATCACTCTTGGAAATTAGAGAATGTTTTCTGATTTTACAAAATGACATGAAAAAAACAGACCCCTGATTTATAAAATGACCCAACAGTATCTCACAGAAAATATGTCCCTGATTGCTGCTTTCATGTGGCAGTTAAGGATTCCCTTTAAAAGCGTTCTTCGTCATTCAGCTTGTGCTTCTATCCTGATTACTCTGTCTGACCTGCCTCAGCAAGAGCCAGAGATTTTGGGAAAACAAATCCCTTTTAAGCACTTAAAAAGATTTTTTTCCCAATGTAATGGAGAGACCATGCTAGCCTTGAAAGTATAATTTGATTTGTCTATGCTGCCCGTACATGTAAAGGCATCAATTCAACATCAAATTGATTTTCAAGGTAATACTCCTCTGAACTTAGCAGGGAAGATTACCCTTAAAGTTTTATTCGAGGAATTATTGAGAATGAAATTAATATACTACTGGTAGCTACCGTACATTCATTGGTAATTCAGTTGAAGAAGACAATTTCTTCAGATATGGTTATCAGTAGGATTTAAGTGTAAATTAATAAACTTCTATCAATTCTTTGTCAGTGAACCATCAGAATCATCTCTAGGACACTTAAATTGAATTTGGCTCATTTCACCTGCTTTGCTTGTAACCCCAACATGCCCTGGGATAACACTTGACACTTGGACATGACCTCCTATGGTTCAGAATCATGCAAAGATGCAGAGTAGTTATGGAGAAAGATGCAGGGTCAGAAGAAAGACATTCCTCTCAGCAGGGTCCCAGACTTCTGAGAACAAGATACATGTACATGGACAAGGAAATTATCTTCACCCACAGATGCAGGAATTTGAAAAATGTACATGTATAAAGGTAATTCTTAAAGCATTACCTGCAAACCAAGATAAAGACACGTCTAGTACACAGGAGCAGCAGCTGATTATTTCAAACTATTAACAATTTTGGTGTGATTTTGTGTGTCTTATTTACAGTATTTTCATCTTCATTAATTCAAGTGGCAGAAACTGGAGAAATTCTAATCTTACATACAGTACATTGCAAACAAAAGCATACGAATACCATATAGGAATATCGTGTCTTTTTTTAACACTACAAGTCATACCAGGCACCTGTAACAAACAAAACCAAGGAAACTGAAGATTTGTAATGTACTTTTACATTCTCTTTGAAAGTTTGTAAAAAAGGTTTGGTCCAACCTCACTTTTACAAATACATGTATCATTAAATCCAACTGTTTGTCTGTGAATTATTTGTTTGCAAAGCTGTCTATTTGTTTTATCAAGACGTCACGTCAGGAAATAGGGAGGAAGAAGTGAGGATTCCCTCACGGAGATGTGGTTAGCTTGAGAAACATAATCCACCTGTATCCCTGTCAGTTTGTTCAAGAACACTTTGTGTCATTTTTAAAGTATTTCTGATTTGAACATTTGCCAAGGTAATTTCTGAGAACAGGACATCAAACAGACTAAGCATCATCCTGACTGATTTGAAGCCCAAAACAACCTCGCTCACCAAATCCTCTCTCATGAAATCCCCTCTTTGTTCCCCATGTGAATAGACCAGTTGGGTATGTGCTAAGTCTACCAGTCAATAAATACCCGTACTTTGTTGAGAAGGAAGATAGTTATAAGTCCCTGAAGGCTTAAAGATAGCCTGTACAGACACACAATGGTCTTCCTTCACTTTTCTGATTTCCAGGGGCTTTCCCAGATGGACTTACAGATTGGGAAAGTCTATTTTCCTTGCCTCAAACTGGGCTTGTTACCTGGTATACTGTGTATATTTAGCTCTGGCTCACAGTTGGGGCTGAAGATTTACACAAGAAGGCCACAGAATTCTTGAATGCAGCTCAAACTTTAAGACTGCTTGGAAATGAGGAAATGGTTTTAGGTAACACATCAAGAATCACTTTGGACTGATGTCAACCCACCCCTTGTCCGTGGAAATTATCACCTCTGGACTCGGGAGGTTTTTTAGGGGTTTTGTACTGAGCCAGAAGCATATTTTCACTTTATTCGGTAGCTGTTTCTAAGTTTGGTGTATTGATTTGATTCCACATTCTTGTAACAGGCGCTTTACGCATTAACCTCTGTCCCTATACAGCAGGTGTATGGACACTTAATTAATTAGTTGTAATGAGCTGCCCGACCTCACCAGCCAGATCAATAACTAGTGGAGATGACCATTAATGATGACAATCAAGATAATGTTGCATAGGGGTACACATACCGGTACATAAGTAATGAATGAGTGTCACTCCGGTAGTTGTGGTTAATGTGGGTTCATTTTAAAGGGGTTTACTTGAGTCTTGCGTTGCATTTAGCAATATCTTTCCTTTTCAAGAAATTTCTGCAAAGTCTTGAAAATAAAATCAACATTTTGTTCCTTTGATTTTGTATATTGTGTGTTCACTCACTGTTGAAAAGTTCCACAAGGGAACAAGATGGAAGACATCGAGATGTTTGTCAAGTCAGTGGATTTGCCATTCAGGACTACACACACTGTACATGTGCGTGTACATGTACTTAGTGGATATTAGACAAAATGAAATTTTCATACCTGTGCATCAACCAGCCAAACAGTTTATTAATTCATTCTTGTAGTCATGCATGTACATGTAGAAAGTCTTGAAATGGTTTGACATACAATTTGGGCACATCAGTTTTTTTGCCAAACTTGGTTAAGCATAGTTTTTCATGTAATTGTATCACATCTCCTTGATATGTGACTGGTTCAGAGATTACAAGACAAGCTACACTCTCACCAAACCTTCCCTTAAAGGTGACGATCCATTGAACTACCACAATGGTTTGATTCAGATGGTGATGATGGCAGCTGTGAGCATCTCCCTTTAATCCTCACTGGAGGTAAAATGTAATTGCATGCCAAGTCGTCAGTGAATGGCCAAACAAAACCCGACCAGGAGAGGGAGGTCTATTGTTGTCGCTAACAATAAGCCAGCAGCATAGTGTTGCTAATGCCATAGCGTCCTTATACACCAATGGTAGATTTTCACTGACGATTGCAATATGCAGTATTCTAGGTGCGAACACGCATCACAGGTGCTTCGTGTATTGCAAGGTCTTCAAGGATTATGTAGTTTTTATTATCAGGAGGAAGAACAATTCCAGAAGCAATAGATGGAGGAAGCAAGGCAAGGTTTGGGAGTTGTGGAAGAGGTTGATTTACTCTTGGAAGTGAAAGTACATGTACGTGCAAGCTGTTGATTGGAATTGGAGCTCTACACATGTGCTTTATTTAGGCCTGAATTTTGCACAGTGTTGATATCATCCACCTGTTATTATTAGATATACTTTGTTCTGTAATTGGAGAGGAAGGAGAAGGTAACAGAAGACAGCTGTCAGTGGAATTCAGGCATCATTGGATGAATACTGTGGATCGGACAGGATTGATTTCTGTGAGCATTATATAAAGTGCTGATCCAGTGGATATTGCATAATGCCAGAGAGATGCAACTACTTTGAAGATCAATATAGGGTATTTATTGGTACAAACAAGTTTGATGTACATGTAAAAACCACTGAAGTCACTTGGGAAGTACTCATCAGTGATGTAAAGTGAACCAACTTGAAATTGAGCATCAAGGATTAATAGTCTGGAATAACAGCCACTTTTGTGAGCATAAATTGTCTTCATCCAGTTTGGGATTTCCTTGGACCTGGCAGGAAAGCAATTTTTTAGCTATAGCAACTGGATCTTAGTGCTTGAAGAAGTACAGGAAAGGACTGTTCATTGTACACTGAGGACAGTTTTCTTGCAATTACTCAAGGAACTTGTTTAGCTGAAGTTGGAAGTTCAAACTGGTGTTTGCATTGTGCTGTTAACCTAGCAAGAGAAGCAAACATGATGGGTAAACAAATCAATTGAGTGCATAGCTTCACAAGTGTGAGTTGGCAGTCCACTGAAAAAATGGACATACAAATTGGAAACAAAGTAGTGCCAAGATGAATCATGAATTGTTGGGACTTACTGTACTGCAAAGAATCATTTACATTTAGTTCCAGTTACTATGATGATTTAAGATTTGGAAGAAAAATTATTACACTCACAGTAGTAGAGGAACTTACACAATGAAGTTCGTATGAAGATTTTGAAATCTGATGAAGTGCATGTAGACTTTCAGTTGTCAAAAATGAGTCAGCGGCCACACCCTCATTCTTCAGGAAGCTCGGAGCAAAGTAAATCCCTGCAGCAAAATGCAGACAGGGCTAACATTCCACAGAGTGAACCAAGGATGGTGACATTATTGAGAGTCTCCCCACGAGATGCGTCAGTGTCCAGCCGACGGCAACAACAACGGACAAAAACCGCCTTGCAAGAGAAGAAGTCACAGTACTTAGAATACGCATCTCAGGTTGAGGAACGCCGCCGACAGTCACTCCAAGCTGGCCGGAAGGTTGGAGGACAGAAAAGTAGGAGCAGGGATAACATCTCAAGGACTAGAAATGGTGGACTGAAGGAGCAAGTGCAGAATCCTCAGTTAGCAAATCGCCCATTGTCAGAGGTGCAGAAGCCAAGACAACCTCCTGTGAAACCACAGCGCCATTTTTCACAAAGCCCTCCAAGACAGATCAGGAAAGACCCTGCCAGACTACCCAATGGACAGTACCACGGGCCTCAGCACCATCGATCTGAGAATCATAATCACGCCAGGAGTAACCAACACGCACCCCACCAGACACCCAAGCCTCGGGATGCTGTTGCTCCAAAACGCAAGCCAAGAAGTCTGTATCCTCTTCCTCCTGCAACAAACCAACTTCAAGTGTTCCCAGATCCTCCTAGGATATCGAAATCTCCCCACAGACCTCCACCTCAACAACCAACCAAAGGGGAACGAGAGCCATTAACACATGTCCAAGTTCAGGCCGAGATACATGCCACTCCTCCATCAACTAAAGCTGCCTCTCCAGTTAATTTACTACCTGTGAATTCCCCAGCAGGGGATGATCCAATTCTGTCCTGGATTGATAAAATTGATGCACAAGATAGTGTTTCAAATTCATTCCCTCCAACTGGTCGCTCACAAAGTGCTGACCCACGGAGTAGAGGCTCTGCAAGTAAAACTGAACTCCGTAACGATCTCAAAAAATTTGATGAAATGAACATGGTAGCAAAGAGACGAGTGAATTCTCCTGATGAAATTCTCGACAAATCACAACGTGATTTGAAATCACCACCCCGAGGCAGACCAGCAGGTCATGAAAGGCAGTCAAGATTGGACAATTTTGCAACAAATCATCACATTACTAAGGCATCATCTCAGACCTCCCTTCCTCAACAACATCTTAGAGCCAGTAGAATCCCTGTGAAGAAAGGATCAGTGGATAATCTCAGAAGTGAAACGCCAAGACAAGATAAGCATTTCTCTAATCCTGAACCCCCACCACGGCAGAGGAAAAACCAACGCCATAGCCCTGAGATTCAAAGCACTAAATCAAAGAGTCTGTCCACGGGTTCAAAGGAACCCCAATTAAACACGTCCTCCCAACATCTAAATCATCAAAGTAATAGTAACGAGCCTCAACCTCCTCCAAGACTTCATAGAGGCCCGCAAGATGACCCTGAGCAAGACAGGAAAAAACAAAGGCAACACAAGTCAAGCTCTTCTGGAAGAAATAATAGAAAGCTTTTGCCTAGTGCCACTACTTCTCTTGCTAAGCAAGAAAGACACTTACAAAATTTACCTGTGAAGGAAACCCCAGAAGTGTCAAAATCACCCAGAGAAAAGAGTGACCACTGTTTACCTCTTGATTTACCGGTAACTCCTAGGCGCCCATCAAGCACTTCACCTCGGCATCAAGAGCTTCGACGGAGGCTGAGTGAAATCCTGATGGAACGTAAGAATAGAGAAAATGGAACACCAGATGCAATGAAAAAGAAGACGTCAGTGGAGAAAGAAGTCCCATCAGGTGAGAGTGAAGTGAATCTCCATCGAGAAAGTGATGTCATCGAAAGCCTGCTTAATTCTACCTTGGAGCAGGATTTCAAAGGAGAGCTGGAACAGAATTTGGCCAAACGCAAGAGCAGACTGGATGGGAGCTTGGAAAGCACTGACCAGGAAGTTTCCTTCACCATGAAAGAAGCATGTACTGTTGAGAAAGTAAGCAAGCCATCTGCTGCTAGAGAAGGTACAAATGGAGTCAAGGAGCATATTTATGATTCTGGTTTAGGAGCAAGTTATGAATCCCAATGCAATGCTGCACCAGACAGAAGCAGTGAGGAAGACTCAGTGTTAAAATCAAACAGAGATCAGAAGTCTCCCAAGGAAGTTGAATTTGTCATCACTGAATGGTCGGATGAAACTGAGATTGTGCAGCCTACTGCTGTAGACTCCACAGAATCGTTGCCGGCTGTGGGTGACACTCCTGACACCTCAAGTCGATTATCACCAAGCCCACCCCCGCCTGATGATTCACCACGGGATGAATCAAGGAGGAAAGTACGCTTGAGAAGATGGAGCATAACTGGAGAAGGAAAAGAACGTCCTCATGTTTCACAAAGGCCAGTATCATATGGTGGGGAGGATAAACCAGAGACTTCATCAACGAGCATTTTGTCATCAATGAAAGTTGGGATCTCTGTGCCTGATCTCCCAGGAAGCACCTCGGATGATTCAGCAGACAGGGATTCATCGCTAGATGATAGCAATGGTCTTCTGAATGTGAAAGAAATCGAAGAGGAAATGGAGAAGTCTTCTAGTGCCAACACCAGTTCCGTCCAGTCAACGCCTTGTCCATCCACTCCATCCCAGGACAGCAACACACCTCATGCTTCATCTCCAAAACAGGACTTTGAAGAAGATTCACTTGATTCCGTCCCTTCACCAGCCCGCCGGAAAACACCTCCTCATGAACGCTTGATACAGAGGACCCCATCTCACCACCTGGAACGCAGCCACCAATCCCTGCGACAGTTACCCATCAAAGTCCTCCCAACATCCCCTCGAGGTGATGGCCAGCCCACATTTTCAGAAGATCATGACATGAGTGTACTCGTGCCATCTCCACCAACAGCCCCGGCCCAGCCCTCCCCATCTCCGACTGACTCCAATCCCAAAAAATCCCGCTACCTTAAACTGACCGGAATGCAGCTTCTTCCTCAGAAGCTGCAACTCATGGGCTCCAAGGACAAATCTAAAGCAACCAACCAGGAAGACGAGCCAGATGGAGAGAAACATGGCCTGTACAAAAAGTTTGAGTCCAGAGGGAGGGAAAGATCAAAGAATGATTTCTCAATATCTCCAGTTTCTAGGGTGAAGAGGAGGAGTGCATCAGCTGATGGGTTCTTCCCATTCCAGAGGGAGAGATCACCAAGTCCATTGGTGAGTTTAATCACATAACTTTCTGGTACAGTTGGTCTTCCTTGTGCTTTTCTGTTATTTAACAATCCTGGTGTTCCCTAGGCAAGAAGTCTGTACAGTGAAATATACTGAAGCTCAAACAATTCATATTTATACATGTACATATTTTGAATTGTTTAACATTTTTAGCTCAAAAACATCAAAATCCAGACTGGATGTTTACATACATTTACAGGTACCCGGTATCATTTGTAACTGATGCTACTCTAATAAACTAGATACCGGTAGGTTTGTGGTAGCACCATGGATATATCTCTTTTTTGAGTGTGTAGGGTTCTGAAAAGAACTGGTGGTACTCAGCATTTCGGACAGTATGTTCTGCCCGTTGTCAGGAGACTGCAGAGGGTCCGGTGATGAGGCAGCGTACAGTATCATTATGGTGTGTAGAGGGCAGTGAAGTGTGGAGAGAATGATGTAACTCTAACTGCCCCAGTGGATACAGGTTGTGAAAAGGATTGAGTTTCACTAAAAAATATTGGTTGTTTACAAAAATGTCTGCCACAGTTGATGTACATGTATGCAATACTGGTACATGTACTGGTAGATCTGATGTCTTGCGATTCAAGTAGGTTGTGAAAAGATTAAATTTTACTACGACTATTGATTGCTTTCAACAAAATTACTCATGTACATGTACATGAACATAACTGTACATGTACAACACCGTAGCAGTACTTTGATCTACATGAAGTTCTGCCTACTGGTACATGTACATTAGTTCATTGGCATTCTGCAGCTGGGGCCAATTTCACAGAGCTGCTTAAGCACAAAATTTGCTTAAGCGTGAATAAACCTTGCTTGACAAAGCAGGTTACCAGCCAAAACTCCATGTGCTGTATATTGGTTTGGAATGGTATTCACCTGTCTTTTGGTTAGCATGGCAATCACATACATGTAGATTTTGAGCTGGAAACCTTCATTTTTTTAAGCCAGGTTTCTTTGCGCTTAAGCAAATTTTGGGTTCTATGAAATTGGCCCCAGGTGTTCATTGTTGATTCCTGTTTTATACAGAGGAGTCATGTTACAAACTGAACCCGTTTAGTGGAAAGATGTTTACATGTGACAAAATTAATTATCATTCCCTCCTACAGACACATGCATGCCAGGTACGTGTACATATGTATTATCCATTTTCATGTGGATCAAATTTAATTTTGTTCATGGAATTTGCACAAAAATTACTCTTGAAAGTGGCAATTTTAAAGTTAACTTACATGTACATGTACATGTATGTAGAGTGTATGGTATTGGTGAAACTAATAATGGTCACAATGTTCAGACCTGAGTGTCGTTTATGGAACATTTGTTTTTTAAGTTCTTTTCCTTTTTTTAAAATTCAGTCCATATTTACATGTATACAACATTTTGTGATGAATTGGACATCAAAGTATTCATTTTTTCATCTTCAGCCTCCTGTACCTCATTTCTTTGGCAACAATTTGTTATGAAATGGTTTTTTATTTTAATATCGCTTGTACATGTACAAAAAATGTAAAACATCTGCAGTGTTGCACTGATATGTAAATTAAGCCTGTGTAGATTTTTCCTGGGGGAGGGGTGGATAAAATGCACCTGATTGAAACTGAGCATTTATCCTACTGATGTGATATTTTAAGCTAGTGTACAGAAATATCACTGTAGGGTTCATGTGCATGTATGATCACATTACCCAGTGTACCGTATGTCAATTATCCACAATTAATCAAGCACCAATGTACAGTATCATTTATAAACCTTTGGTTATATTATCTTGAATGTTCATTTTAGGAGTCAGGTTATTTTTTGATGTTGAATCCTTGTAAAACCGTTATTGACTGTTGCTGGTGTTGTAATATTGCAGTGATGTATCCAGCTTTGGGTGTCGGGAGAGGGGAACAAATTCAAAAGTGAATTGCTTTGGGCCAATTCAACATGATGTTAGGGGAGAAAACATATCCAAAGCCTTACTCGCGGTCCTGACATCCTTGCTTTTATTTCATGGTGTTACCGGACCTTTTTAATACCGGAATTTTTTAGGGTTTTGGTGCTAATATTTGATAAATAAATAAATATACCAATTACTTTTTCAACCTATGAAGTATTCTGTGTTTAAAACAAAATGTATGGAGGCAAATTGCCCCCCCCTCTTGCCCCTGCTGGATATGCCATTGGTGGGTATTCATGTATGAACATACTGGTAGGGCACAATGCATATGCAACTTTCGGTATTGTGTGTCGGAGTAGCTACATGTTGCATGGATGATGTATGTTTATCTAGCCAGTCTATTTGAGTACAGAAAAATCAATGAGAGTGTGATTATTTAATCAGAAACCATTTAACCTTCATCATTTGAAACCTGCTCCATCTCCTCCACCATTCATATCAAAACACTTCACCACCTGCAGTCGATACCTGGTTCCTGAACAGCAGGAATTGTTTACAAGCTGTCACCATAGCAACACTTCCTCTTAATTGCTTTGTGGCAGCTACATGTACGTATACTTAATCGGCTCTATTGTCAAAGACTACCATAGCTTGCATTACTAGTACGACTTTTTCATTCCAGCTTCCTCATAAGTCCTTTTGATCTTGTTTGTGTCGCGTTTGAGAGATTTATCGGCTTCGTGACTGTGGCATAGAACTTGGAATTGTGGTATCAGGTCACCGAAGCATGAAGTTGTTTACCCTGTTTTTTTACTTTCTGTTGAATGTCTAATGGCCTATAGGGTCAAGTTCTGTTATAAGAGGACCCCTTGTCGCTCTACCTGACTTGAATATTGCCCATGGGAGTCAAAATGGGATTGATAGTTGTTGGTCAAATTGATGTGGGTTGTTACTAGAATGATAGGATTCTTTTTACTGCAGATAATTTATTTGGGAGGTATTATTCAAGGTTGATTGAAAAATAAACGGGCACATCAACATGCTTGGGAAAAAATTGGTTCCCAGGGCTCCATCCCCTGTGCAAACATGGTGGGGGCAATTACAATGCCCTCATCATGGATGGAACCCCTACCCCCTCTTTGATTTCCCATGAGGTTTTATTGACCTTGTGGTGAGAAGAAGTGGCCTTGCCCCTTCACAAGGTATGGCCCTTTGTTTGCTGATCAAGCTGCCTTAACCCAACTTGATGATAGAGGTTATGTGTACATGTGTTAGTTTATGAGACTGGCCAAACAGAAGTGAATACTCAGGTGCATATGTACTTGTACCTGTACAGATATGTGTGTAAAAGGCAATAGTGGGAGAACCAGGGGCCAGTTTCATAGAGCTGCTTAAGCACAGAATTTGCTTAAGCATGAAAAAACTTTGCTTAATAAACAAATTTTACCAGCTCAAACTCTATGTGATTGTCATGCTGATCAAAAGACAGGTACATTGTAAATACCGGTACCATTATAAAACAACATAAATCACAAGAAGTTCTGGCTGGTAACCTGATTTATCAAGCAAGCTTTTTTCACGCTTTGTTGAAGCAAATTTTGAGCTTAAGCAGTGCTATGGATTTGTTCCCAGCTGTGAACCAATGTGTGCACTTACTCCATTCCTTCATACATGTACAGGATTTACTGGTTCTACCTGGTAAATGATGTCACACTTGGTAACTTGATTTACATGTACATGTACCTACAGTAGGCTGATCCATTAAGCCTACATGTAGCTATCTCATTATAAGACCTATGGTATTGTACAAAGTGGGAGAGGGAGCCATACCCCCAAACAAAAAAAGTTGGGGGCCACTGGTCCCCCTGGCTGCCCTCTCCCCTTCCACTGCCAGTGGTTTGTGACTGGCCATCTCCTGGGCTGTCAACCAAGAGTAACAGAAAAAAATACTGGTAAATGACTTATTTTACTGTCTTGACTTTAAAGGAATTACCCAGTACTCACTGCTTACCCAATCAAAACCAGGGAAATGTGCCATTAACCATTGTGTCGGGTCTCTTGGACAGTCAAGTGGACACAGAATACAAAATTGACCTGACATAGAAAGGTCACCTCAGGTCATCATGTATTGTACTGGTAGCTCAGCGCATGATATGCAGCTGTCTCTCAGAATTCATGGAATCTTGCTCGGCTGATTGTGTCATTATGCAGCTACAGTAGCGCTATACATGCACATCACAGATACAGCTGCCTGAATAATCTAGCGCCCTCTGTTGACATACTGTACTTTTGGAGAGATGTACATGTACATCGTGGAAATGTGTCAATTCCTGGCAGCAGATACATGTAGATGACTTGTATCCCAATTCACATTTTCAAAGATCAATACCCTAGAATGCACGCATGTAGATGTTTCAAATTAATTCCTTACATTGAATTCTGTCCTTCAAAAAGACTACCCGTGTCCTACTTGTCAGTTTATTTTTTTCTAATCCCTCTGTCGTCTCTAAATACATAATCAAATTCTGATGCTTCGATTATTTGAGTCTTTTTATCACTTGTATTTTAATTTGTTGTTTTCAAAACACACCATGTGTGTATAATTGCTTTAAATAATGCATTGAAGTGTCTATTTTGTAACGAAATCTGAGCCTTTCTCCTTATCAGCAGGGTACATGTTTAGGTGACCTCATCAAAAGTCTGATAGCTGGAGGATATTTTGTTTTCAAAACCAACTTTACACCAGCTTGTCAGATGCCATTACTGTAGGTGCAATGTGACTCACTTTCCAAAAATATACCGAGTGCTACTGGCTGTTTGTGTTGTCACTGAAATTTATAGAATAGAAATGCCCACGAATTGTAAGACACCAATAGGCAGACGTACAGGTACATATGTACTTTAACATTCAACCCAAAACATATAGGTAAAGCTATAGGCAGAGAGACACCTAGGCATATTTTGGACACAGGACCTTTGGCTATAAATAGATAACTTCTTTTGTCTTACAAACTGATCATAATTTTTCAAACAATCACTGGTAATTTAGAAACTCTTTTTAATTCAAGGCAAACAGTCTGTATTCATGTGATGGCTG